TACACTGATGCAGTCCTCCCAAACCCACCTTTTCCATTCCACTGCCCGTGTATGCTGAGGTGCTTCTCCTGCGCTGCAGAACAGCTCTTTTTCTGCCTAGTTTTCACCCATGATTATACAGTCAAATAATATAATAACATGTAATTATTTAATAATTACAATTTGTGTAACACCTAAAGGCAAATAGAGGCTTTATGGGAAAATGCTCTTTTTGTGAGATGGAGTTTCACACTGTCGCCCAGGCTGGAGTGCAATGGCGCGATCTCGGCTCACTGCAACCTCTGCCTCCCAGGTTCAAGCGATTCTCCTGCCTCAGCCTCCTGAGTAGCTGGGGTTACAGGCACCCGCCACCACGCCCAGCTAATTTTCGTAGTTTTAGTAGAGACGGGATTTCACCATGTTTGCCAGGCTGGTCCCGAACTCCTGACCTCAGGTGATCCTCCCGCCTTGGCATCCCAAAGTGCTGGGATTACAGGCTCGAGCCACTGCGCCTGGTCGTGAAAGTGCTTTTAAAGCTGTAAAGGCATATACAATCCAAAAATACTCTTTTAAAATTGTTTTTACATGGCAGGATACTTGGAAGCAACTAGATTTCCATTGCATCTCACAATCAGTGAGCAAGCCATTCTCATTTTCCACATTCAGGATTTTCCATGTCTTAATGATGATATTTCTGGAATATTCCTGGATCTGACCCAGCCTCTGAAATGAGTCCTCATGACCTCCCCACCAGACTTAAAATCCATGAAGAAAGGTATGATATTCACTTATTTACTATTCTTTTGCCGAGGCCTAGCCCTTGGTGGGCACTCAGTAATTTCTGTTAAGTGAATGAACCTTACTGGTCTTGCCTTCAGTCTCCTTCCATCCTACCTGACAATGTATTTTTTGCATTGCATTTTTGAAGCATCATTTCAAAACCACAGTTCTGGGCCGGGCGCAGTGGCTCACACCTGTCATCCCAGCACTTTGGGAGGCCAAGGTGGGCGGATCACTTGAGGTCAGGAGTTTGAGACCAGCCTGGCCAAACTGGTGAAACACTGTCTCTACTAAAAATACAAAAAAAAAAAAAAAAAAAAAAAATTAGCTGGGCATGGTGGCGGGCACCTGTAATACCAGCTACTCGGGAGGCTGAGGGAGGAGAATTGCTTGAACCTGGGAGGCGGAGGTTGCAGTAAGTCGAGATTGGATCACTTCACTCCAGACTAGGTGACAGAGCGAGACTCCATCTCAAAAACAAAAAGCAAAAACCAAAAAATCCACAGTTCTGCTTGCATTTTGCATTGCATTTTGAAGCATCATTTCAAAAACACAGTTCTGCTTGCATCCTACACAAACTCACAAAACCTTCAAGGATTCTCCATTGCCAATAAAATAAAGTACAAACTGCTGAATGTCACACTCGAGATCTTTCATGGTTTAGTTCCAAACCACCATTTTAGGCCCATTTCCCAGCCCTTATTCTCTCTCCCTGCCCAATCGCCAAATGATTCCCAAGCACGCCATGCAGGTTCACACTCCTAACCCTGACTTAATCTATGCCCCCTGCCTGACATGACCTTCCTTTGGCCCTCTTTATTCATCTGATCGAATTTCACTTACTCTTCAAAAAGCAGCTCAAATGTGACCTCGTCTAATGCTTTCTCTAGCTCCCCTTAGGGTTCTCCCATATAATTTAGGTCACAATCCTCTTATTACATGTTTCCCAGTTTAGCTGGTTTTCTCCCCTGACTCTCTGCCTTTTTTGTTTGTTTGTTTTTGAGACAGGGTTTGGCTCGTTTGCTCAGGCTGCAGTGCAGTGGTGGGATCTTGGCTCACTGCAACCTCTGGCTCCCGGGCCCAAGCCATTTTCCCATCTCAGACTCCCAAGTAGCTGGGACTACAGGTTCATGCCAGCAAGCCCGGCTAATTTTTGTATATATTTCTTTGGTAGAGATGAGGTTGTAGGCTGGGTGCGGTGGCTCACGCCTGTAATCCCAGCACTTTGGGAGGCCGAGGCGGGCAGATCATGAGGTCAGGAGATCGAGACCATCCTGGCTGACACAGTGAAACCCCGTCTCTACTAAAAATACAAAAAAAATTAGCCGGGCATGGTGGCAGGCTGTAGTCCTAGCTACTCAGGAGGCCGAGGCAGGAGAATGGCATGAACCCATGAGGCGGAGCTTGCAGTGAGCCGAGATTGTGCCACTGCACTCTAGCCTGGGTGACAGAGCAATACTCCATCTCAAAAAAAAAAAAAAAAAAAAAAGAAAAAGAGATGAGGTTGCACCATGTTGCCTAGGCTAGTCTTGAACTCTTAACATCAGGTGATTCCTCCCGTCTTGGCCTCCCAAAGTGCTGGGGTTATAGGCATGAGCCATTGTGCCTGGCCCCAATGGTGCTTTAATAATGCCAACTATCATATGCCACCCACTGCTGCAAACCCACCAGTGGCTTCCCTTCACGCAAAGCCTTGACTTTTTTGGCCCCTGCTTTCCTCTCCAGTTTCATCTCTCCTACATTCCCCCTCGCTCACTCCAGCCTCCTTTATCTCCGCTTCTCCTGGAACATGCCAAGCTATTCCCTCCTCAGGACTTTTGAACAGCCTCCCCTCTGCCTGGAAAGCTCTTCTCCCAGATATATACATGACTTGCTCCTTTACTTCATTTGAGTTTCTACTCAGATATTCCCTCTGCAGAGAGGCCTTCCCTAATCACTGTCTAAAAGAGCACCCTCAGCCAGGCACAGTGGCTCACGCCTGTAATCCCAGCATTTTAGGAGGCCGAGGCGGGAAGATTGTTTGATGTCAGGAGTTCAAGACCAACCTGGCCAACATAGCAAGACCCTGTCTCTATGCAGAAATATTAAATAAAAATAACAATAAAAATAAAAAATATTAAATAAATATAAATAAATATTAACGGAGGGCACCCTCCATTAAGCCCTAATCTCTTACTTGCTTTATTTCTCCTCATGGCATGAAACACCAACAGTTTGTCACCATTACTTTTCCATGCATTTATGTATTTGTTTATTTGTTGCTGAGGATAGAGACCATTTTGTTTGCTATCATATCCCTGGTACCTAGAACACTGCCTGGCAGATAACAGGCGCTCAATTATTTGTTGAATGAATGGATCAATCTTTGTATCCAAGATGACTACTGCAGTGTCTGGTTGTATACATATTTGTCAAATAAGTGATCAAATTAATACATTTTACAAACGAAATGGAATCCTGGCATATGTCCAGGATTATCTGGGATATGAGTGCAGGTGTTTCATCCATTTGCTTCACGGACATACTTTTTATTTATTTACTCTAGTAATCATAGGTAACATAATCAGATTCTTCAGTTTTTCAGAAACTAGTTGGTGATTGAGGTCTTGCCCAAAAATATTTAGGGCATTCCAGAAAGGTTACCAACAGTGGCACAGCAGGGATTTAGAATACCAGCAGTCCTCTGCCTCTCATTGGCTCCTGAGGGTTTCTGACAAGGTTCTTTATCTCCTGTGATTTATATTGAATGTGCCTTTGTTTTTATACCTGCCAAACACTGATTATTCTGAGGGCTGGAACAGGTAAGACATTGACTGACCTCAGAACTCAAAGGGTGGACTCATTACACCCTGCATATTCCAGCGGACCCTGCAGTGAGCCTTCAGGGCTGCAATGCCCCAGCCTGCTTCAGGATTTGGGCTTTGGGAACCTGAGTGGCTTTGATGTGGCTATTCAGTCCCTGAAGGGTAGCTGATCTGGGGAACAATTTGCCACACTTTCTAGTTCACTTTAGCCTCTGGGCAGTTGCTTTCCCAGCCCATCCCATTTTCCTTAATTCCTTGCCTATGTGTAAGTAAAAGAAGCACACAGGGCCCAGCGCAGTGGCTCACGCCTGTAATCTCAGCATTTTGGGAGGCCGAGGCGGGCAGATCATGAGGTCAGGAGATCAAGACCATCTTGGCTAACATGGTGAGATCCTGTCTCTACTAAAAATAAAAAAAATTAGCTGGACGTGGTGGCGGGTGCCTGTAATCTCAGCTACTCGGGAGGCTGAGACAGGAGAATTGCTTGAACCCGGGGGGCAGAGGTTGCAGTGAGCTGAGATCTTGCCACTGCACTCCAGTCTGGGCGATAGAGCGAGTCTCTGTAAAGAAGCAGACACTGCAGAGAAGGATGAGCTCTCGGCATGAGTGAAGTGTAATATTGGCAATCTGTTCGTGTATCCTATTGTGGTTTTTTTTTTTTTTTTTTTTTTTGAGGTAGTGTCTTGTTCTGTTGCCCAGGCTGGAGTGTAGTGACCCAATCTCAGCTCACTGCAACTTTCACCTCCCAGGCTCAAGTGATTCTCATGCCTACAAGTGGCTGGGATTACAGGCGCCCACCACCATGCCTGGCTAATTTTTGTATTTTTAATAGAGACAGGGTTTCACCATGTTGGCCAGGCTAGTCTTGAACTCCTGACCTCAAGTGATCCGCTGGTCTTGACCTCCCAAAGTGCTGGCATTACAGGTGTGAGCCACTGTGCCCAGCCTTGTGTATCCTTTTAATGAGGCCGAGCAGTGACCAGACTGTGGATGGCATTGGGGCCAGGGACCAGAACAGGGAGAGCCTGGGAGGAACCCCTCTAGCCCCCTGCAAATCTCAAGCACTGGATACTAAAGAAGAGTGGTAGATGGGGCCTCATGAGGTGCAGGGGGAAGGGAACTGGCTTAACTGGATGGTTCCCTGTCCAAGCACTGGGCTAGGCCTTTTGTGTGCATAGTATCGTCTACTGTTACCAAGAAATTAGTTATACTTATCATCTGCATTTTACAGAAGAGAAGAACAAGACTCAGAGAGGTTGGTGACACCTGCCCAAGTTACCCAGATGGCAGGTGGCAGAGCTGGGATTTGAGATTCAAATCAGGCCTGGGAGGCTCTCTGGCTGCCCACCAAGAGAGGAATTTCTGTAGAAAGGCATGAAGGTGAAAGAGGCGACAAGAGCTGGAGGGGCAGCAAATGGGTCCTACCTGAGAGTTGACCATCATCAGGTGCTGTCCAGACCTGGCTTCTCTTCTATTCTGAGAACTGATATCCTGTGACTGACTTACCAGGCTCGTCCTAGTCCCCCCGCACAATATTGGGAGTGGAGGCAGCCCTCCACGGAGGCGCTGAGAGCCTTTACTCCCAGCAGTGTCCTGTCACTGCATTCCGGCCCCTGCGTTTGTAGGCAGTGGTGTCATAGAGTGCCTTCATGCTCCTCGGGTCTCCGGTTCTCCCTGGACCTCTGTGGTCCTCACTGCCAAAGTTGTACCCCCTGGGGAGTGCACCCTGCCTGCATTTCTGGAGGTTCGGGCGGTTCCGGGACTCTGCAGGAGCCTCCAGGCGTGATAAAGAGCGCTGCCGGCACTCTCGGGGTCTCGGCCTCTTTGGGGCCCCTTGCCAAACCCCTTCCCTCCTCGCGCTCCCGCTCAGCGTTGCA